CGGGAGTGCAAGGAAGCCCTGCGAAGGCCCTCCCTGGCCCCAGGCAGGCAGGGGTGGGGAGAGGCAGGGAGGAAGCAACTTACCCTCCCTCTTCTCCTGCCTCCTCCTGGCTGAATGAGGGCCGGAAGCGGGGCGGCCGGAAGTGGGGGGCGGGGCTTCGTCATGTGCCCGGCCCCCCGTACCTCACCCGGGGGAACTGCGATCCCCCGCGATCCCCCCTGAAATGACCTCTGCCTCTAACACGTCTGCTGGTTACACACTAACGGTCCCTATTGCTTTGCAGATCAGAGGAGCAAGTAATAGCTCCTGATTAACAGTGTAGACGCGGTTTCAATTCAAATTCCTATGACAAGTGCATCCAATCATGGGAGCCCCCTCAAGGAAGGGGGGCTGGGGAACAGGAGTGCCATGTACAGAACTGCGGCACCCACTTGCTGTTTGCTGCTGTTGGTCATTACAATTGGCTTCTGCAAAAGTCATAACTGCTATGGATTGCTTGTTTTCCACATGAAACAGCTTTATTTTGTATTTGTGCCGTCAAACCTGGACAGGCTGGTAAGTTAAACTGGATTTCTTCCTAATTCACTAAGGGCATTCAGATACTATAAGAAGAGAAAAACTTTTACATCCCAATTTTAGAATGTTGTTTGGAAGGATGTCCCACTGAGTTCAGTAGGACTTACTCCCAAGCAAATATATGAAGGATTGCACCCTTAGCAGTATATATGAAAGTGCCCTAGGAGTCAGAGGTGACCCAAAAAAGTAGCTTTTTGAAGAACTGGCCAGTTAGACTACCTACTGCTCAGGAATTAAGATCACCGGGAGAGGCCCTCCTGACTGCCCCACTAATCAAGCTCATCTGGTGGGCCTATAGGAGGGCCTTTTTGGTGGCAGCCCACAATTGTGGAACAATCTCCCCAGAGATGTGCTCTTGGCTCCTTCCCTCTTGATCTTCAGGCAGCAACTGAAGACAATTTTATTTAGGAGTACATTTGACTAATTTAGTTTTTATTTACTGGCAGTCCTATTTGAGATTTTAAATTGTGGTCTTTTACGTTTTTTAAATAATCGTTATCCTATATACATAATTCCCTTACCTATTGGCCATTTCCAGCTCTCCCATTGGCTGTGCAGTGCGCTCCATCAGCCACTGGCCCATCAACCGCCACTCAAGAGTACTCGCATAAAGAGTACTCGCATAAAGAGACTGCTCCTCTCCCCCACCCACTGCCAGCCTGGACACTCTTCCCTCACAGAATTAACTATCAAAATGGCTGTCTCTCCTGACAAAGACACTTCTCCTTGTCTCCTGTGGAACTAACTGTTCCCTCAGTGGCTGTTGCTAGGCAACCAAGCTTGTTTCTGTCAGTAAAAAGACAAAGGAAGGAAGCCTTTTCCAGGCCTTTGTGAGGAACTCATTGGGGCCAGTCCTGACTATGGTTGCCAGTTCCAGGTTGGGAAATTCCTGGATATGCTGTAGTGGAGTCTAAGGAAGTCAGAGTTTGGGGAGGGGAGAGGCCTCAGCTGAATAGACTGCCATAGAGCCCACCCTCCAAAGCAGTTATTTTCTCCAGCGGGAGAGAGATCTGTTGTCTGGAGTTCAGTTGTGATACCCAGCAATTTTCAGGCTCCACCTGGTGGTTGGCTACCCTAGGCATAGCAGTTAGCACTTCAGAGCAGGGTCTGCTAGACCCAGGTTCTTGCTGTGGAAGTTGAGTGGGTGATTTTGGACCTGTCACAGACTTTCACAGGGCTGTTGTGCAGATCAAAATAGGGAGAGGAGAATGATGTAAGCTGCTTTGGTCTCCACTGTAAAGAAAGACTGTACTTTTCCTTCTGGGGAATCATTGCTGCCAATCTCCAGGTGAGAGATGGAGGTCACTCAGAATTAAAACTGTTCTCCAGATGGTAGAGTTCAGGGACAGATAAAGGTATGTTGATGGCTGGCTGGGAAGGAAATAGGGTTGAGAAATTCCTGGAGATTTGAGGGGTGGAGCCTGGAGAGGGTGGGGTTTGAGGAGGAGCGGGACCTCAGACAGGTACAATTCCATAGATTCCACCCCCTAAACCAGCCATTTCCTCCTGGGGAACTATTGCTGCCATTCTCCAGGTGAGGGCTGGAGATCAGTCAGAATTAAAACTGCTCTCCAGATGGTAGAGATCAGTTCCCCTGGAGAAAACAGTAAGCTCTTTGTCATTATACCCTGCTGAGATCACCACAGCAAATTGACGATGAGTGCCAAGGCCAGGGCACCCACCCAGAGCCTCTTTCTAGAGTCTGTTGTGTTTATTTCCACAACAGGCCTTATTCCTAAAGGTAAAAGTTTCCCTTGCTTGAAAGCCAGTCGAATCCAACTCTAGGGAGTGGTGCTCATCTCCGTTTCCAAGCCAAAGAGCCAGTACTGTCCAAAGACTTCTCCATGGTCGTGTGGCCAACATGACTAAACACTGAGGTGCACAGAACAATGTTACCTTCCCATCAAAGTGGTACCTATTTATCCACATGGAATTTCTTGCTTTTGAACTGCTAGACTGGCAGGAGCTGGGGCCAGAGATGGGAGTTTGCTCTGTCAAGCAGCACTAGGGTCTCAAACTGCCAAGCTGCGGACCTTCTGGTCCGCAGCTCAGCGTCTTAACCTTTGAGCCAACGTGGCCCCTTTGACCCTTATTCCTAGTTTTATTTAAATTGTAAACTGCATTGAATTCCGCAAGGTAGAACAGTAGCCAAATCAAATTTTACATAAATAAAATACTGGTAGAAGACCTTAATTTAGCCTCTGAGACTGTATGGAGAGACTTCACCTTGTGTTCTTTTCCCAGTGTAGGTTTAACGCCCTAATGTGCATACTTCTGTGTGAAGCACCACTGGGTCTTTTTTTGCTTTACAGCAAAGCCGCAGAAGATGCACTCGTGGTTGATTTCTGGCAGAACTGTTGCTGGAATTTTAGCAAAGATCGCTGAGTCGCAGCATGTGACCCATGCAAAGTATTTATATTCTTAAGCAACCGAGCACGCTCAAGATCACTCAACGGAGATTAGTTGTGTTTGTATTTTTTTTTTTGACATCCTAAACATACCTTCCTCGTATTTTTTTTAAATGATTGAACGCAGTCAGCCCAGCCTTTGCAACTTTACAACCGTGTCCTTACCCACAGAACAGATGGTTGACGCTGACTGAGCTTCAAGAATGTCGATGTGTTTGTGAACTTTTCAAAAAGTTTCAGATTCCCAGAAAGGAAAGACCTGCGTCCGTCAATGGGGCGAGGCAATCTCGCGGCCACGCCCCCCGTTCTGGTACACTGAGCGAGCGCCGGAGGGTCGCCTCAGCCGCAGAAGCGTCCCGAGCGCTGGGCAGAGCCATGGACCCGGGGAGTTCGCCCCTCCAGCCGCAGTCGTCGAAGCTGGCCGCCCCGCCGTCCACAGCGCCCCCTCCGTCGGTCGTGTCTCTGCCCTCGGGGGTGCCGATGCCGCCCACCTTCTTCCGCCCGCCCAGCCTCCTCTTGCGCGCCGCGGCCGCTGCAGCCGCGCGCAAGCTGAGCCGGACGCCCAAGTGCGCGCGCTGCCGCAACCACGGCGTCGTCTCCTGCCTGAAGGGCCACAAGCGCTTCTGTCGCTGGCGGGACTGTGCGTGCGCCAAGTGCGCCCTTATCGCCGAGCGCCAGCGCGTCATGGCCGCCCAGGTGGCCCTGCGCAGGCAGCAGGCGCAGGAGGAGAGCGAGGCCCGCGGAGGCCCGAGCGGCGAGGCAGTGCCCAGGCAGACTGGCGTGGAAGGAGAGGTCGCCACCTTCAAGAGCTGCTGCCCGGAGTTCCAGCGCGGGAGAAGAGGTGGGCTGGGGTGGTGGTGGGGTTTACAATGGGGGAGGCTTTCCAAGAGTGGATCTTGCCACTTTGCTGGTGTGGGGGATACAAAGGGCAGGAACGCGGGGCTTAACAGTACTCAGTGAAGTCCTGGAACAAAAAGGTGGTGCCTCTGAACATGTGCAGAGTGCGAATGGAAAATTTCGAAGAATAACGCATCCATTTCATTTGTGTGTGGTTCTAGATAGTAAGGAAGTACGAAGCTCAGTCAAGGCATTTTTGTTGGTAAACCAAATTTGACGGAAGATTCAGAGTCTGCTTTACCCTTGCCATGTTGACATAGTATTGCTTGAGAAAGATCTTTAAATGTGCATCTCCAGATCTTTGTCTGATTATTTGGGGGCCAGTCACAGTAAATCCAGCCGGTCTTACTGCTGATATATAGAGTTGTGCAGAACAAACAGTTCCACTGGCTATTTTCTTGCATGCAGTTGGAAACCTCCCCTGCTCATGCCTTTAGTAGCGGGGCAAAATGTGACTGTTCTGAATACTGAGAACAAATTGTAGACAGAATCCTCCAGATGTTATGATGAATTAGTTCATTTCAGTAGGGTTGTGGTGGGGTAACTCTCCTTATTGGGAAGAAGTTCTGGGCCACCTTGAGGGCCTGCTAGAGCCAGGTACTAATTAAATGATAGCAATGTTGGTTCTTAGTTCTTCTGTCTCAAATCTGCACAGAAGCAATTTTCAGTGGCACTTACTCCTAAGTAAGCACGCTTAAGTTTGCAGACCTGCATGTTGAAGCAATTGCATTCTCATGTAGTCTTCTGGATTGGGCCATCAGCTATTTCATCATTTGACAAGATAATAGGCTAACAATAGTTCTGGATTGCTACCAAAAATGATACGAGACATAGGCAGTAATGATGAAGGCCCACATAAGCATGAAGTATTGTTGCCAAGGCCTGTATAAATATTGAATGTTTTGAAACAGAATAGAGGTCATTAAGACTGAAAACACCGTTTCTGTATGATGTGAGCAAAGTGAACTGAACCCACAGACTGCCTCTCAAACAGAGAGCTCTAATAAGTATAAGATATAAGCTCATCTGCACACTTCAGTAATCAATGGGAGCATTGATGGCAGTTCTATGGAACTCTTATTCATTGCCACACAACATGAGTAGGGAGCATTGCTGAAGTGTCTATGAACTAAACTAAATAAACCCATCCTTCCTAATTAGCCACTGCCATCTCAAGTGGAGAAATGGTTACACCTTCTTACTCAGTTCCATCACAGTTTGAGAAAATTTTTCCTCTCTTGATGCGCTAATCTCAGTAGGGAAAACATAAGAAGCGCAGGGACTCATTATCCCTCACCTCTATAAAAAGTGAAATCTCTCATTCTCAAGCTCCTGTAAAATAGGAGGGTACATGAGGACAACTGCCTCATTCGTTTCCCCCCTCTAGTTTAGTTTGTATCCCACCCTTCCTCCGAAGAGCTCAGAGCAGTGTTCACAGTTCACCCTTCCTTTATCCTCTCAACAGTCCCTTGAGATGACTGAGGGTGAGAGAGAGAGAGAGAGAGAATGACTGCCTAAAGGACACCTAGCGAGCTCCATGATACAGTGGGGATTTGAACCCATGTTTCCTGGGTTTTAATTAGGGTTACCAAAAGCCTGGAGAAAAATACCCACATTGGTAATAGAGGCTTAGCGGGATGTTATTTACCAGGTGATATTATTCACCTCCATGCCCTGAAAAACATCAACAACCTGTTTCCACATAGTTAAGTTTCTATCAACAGGGCAGGGCTATTTTTCCTTCCAGGTTGCTGGCAACCTTTTTCTTAATCCAGCACTTTGCCACACTTTTTCAATACGGTGTCCGTCTCCTTGTCTGTGTGGATCATCTCCACTAACTGGAAAGGAAAACTTGTGTATTTCTTACAATTCAAGAATGTCCTCCTCAGTATTTTGATTACGAGGCCTGGCGTCAGGACTGCCGTGGTATAATTAGATGAGCTCATATGAAAACAGTCCTAGAGTTAGTCTAGCCCTGCTTGTGTAGCAGTTGGTGGGCAAAATGCTGCAGCCGCAGCTTTGCTATTATATATTTTTTCTAGATCACAAATTGGGGAGGCTGGCTGGCAAAATCAATCAGCACTGAATGCTCACGTATTTATAGCATTTGTATCCCACCTTAAGTCGTGTAAACAGGATTTCCAGGATATGTCCCATTGAGCACTAGTTACTTTTAACAATGTTGTTGTGTCACGTGTCCTCCAGGGACACCATGGGAAATACCCTCCACTTTACAAGATTGCTGTAGTGGCTGGACTAGGTTCTGAGAGACCCCAGATTCAAATCCCCTCTCTGCCGTGGAAGCTTCACTAGGTGACCTTGGGCCAGTCACACAGCCTCGGCCTCACCTACCTCACTGCATTAGTATGAGGTTAAAATGGAAGAGGGGAGAAGGGTTTCCACTGGGGAGAAAGGCAGAGTATAGATGAAGTAAATGAATAAGGCTGCGGCCACACACACTAAATAATCCACTTTCAGTGCACTTTCCAACGGGATTTTACTGTGTGAACTGGCAGAATCCAGTTGGAAAGCACATTGAAAGTGGATTATTTAGTTTGTGTGACTGCAGCCTAAAACGTGCAGATTCTTCACGCATGATGGATTTCCTATGTGCCTAGAATGCCTATTTAGGATACTGCATGCTTCTGCTTTTATACCATCGTGCACGGTTAAGCCAGCCATGTTCCTCTCACTGTGTGAGTAGTCTCGACCGACGGAAGCCTCTTACTATATGTACCATAGCAAAAAAGATATGTACCTTTAGCTCTGGGTGCATGTGCTGGCCTCACAGAGTCTTTTATACAGTAAATTCATCACGTGTGACATGGATGCAGCCACGGCCGTGCTCTTTAAGAACTGTATCTTTTCAAAGCAATTGACAAGCTGGGCCTCTGTCTCCTCAGAAACAAGGCCTGTTATGTTGTGTGTAGGATTGCAGCAAGAACGACATTCGTGTGTGAGTGGGAAATGGTGGCTGTATGAAAGAATCTCAGTTATCTGTATGGTACATGGCTGTGAATGGAGAAAATTGGGGTATGTATGCATGTGCGTGCATCTGATAAGCAGGACCACCCCAAGGGTTTTTGGTGCCCTAGACAGTCAGTGGCTTTGGTGCCCCCTCCCCCCTGCAACCTGAGTGCACACAGAGCTACTGTGACCCAGGCAAACCCCACCCCACCCCATGACCCAGGCAAGGAGCCCTCACTGTTACTTAGGCAACCTGCTCTTCATTCTTCCTCCCTCTGTTTGGGGGGGGGGGGGCTGGGAAGGCTGAATCAGGGATAGGTGGGTGAGGCAATCACAGTCTGGCCTGCGGTGCTCCTGCTGACCATGCAGTGCACCTGGTGGTGATGCTGGGAATGGTGGTAGTGCCCAAGGGGGTACTACTTGTCATGGCTCCTACTTGCCATGGCTGATCCAGACTCAGCCAGACCTGCCCTGAACCTTGTTAGGTGCCCTGGTACCCTAGGCTGGCTCTGGTTATAAGTAGTACTTATTTAAGTGCGTAATCCCTCCCCTCCTGGCAGGTAAAATCTTGCAGGGAGTTCAGAATACAGACAGTGAAGCTTTTAATTCTGTGTATTTTTAATGTTGTTAATTGGGCTACTACAGTTGTGCCCTTGCAACTTGGAGTTGTGGTATTAGCCGCTTTGCATTTAGGGAGCTAAGGATATATATGTGTTTTAGATAAATAAACATTATTAACACAGCTGTGATTTGGAGATGTCAGGTCCTATGAGGTGGGATCCCAACAGCTGCTTGTTTTCCCGTGGAAGAGAGCCATAAGATGCACCAAGAGGTCAGAAAGCGGAGATGAACTTTCCTTCGAGAGAGAACCATTTGCTCTATCTGCCAGGAAGGGCGAGATGGGTAGCTGTTGCAAAACATGATCTGAGTATTGAGATGTGCAGGACATGTGCCCTTGGATGATGGGGAGATGGGGGTTCCCCTTCCCATGTGGGGCAAGTTCCCTAAATCTGGATTGAAAAAGAGGCTTCCCACCAGCAAAGGCAGGAGGATTTATAAAGACTGAAAACATCTGTAATCCTTTCTCCAAATGCTGGGAGCCAGATGCCCCTTCAGGGAGCAGGTGGGGGTTTGGATGTGCATTTGTTCCATGTTGGACATAGTGCTTCTGTATTGTTAAGTGTACTTAGTATTGTATTTTCCTGTTCTTTTCATTAGACCTGTAACCTGTAGGTGTGATAGCTATTTCCCCTGTCTTGTGCTCTGACTTAATCAGTAGCAGTAAAGTCTTTTCCTGTTTAAGAGAGCAGACTGTGATTCAAAGTTCTCCTTGTGCACCTTAGATCATTTGCTGACGCTTAACCATGCACACACAGAAGAAGGGCTGAAGTAATTGGGGAACTAACTGCCTTTCTCACATGCTCAGATGCTGCCTTTACTAGTGTTCCCCAAGTCAGTGGTAGGGTGGGAGGTTGGATTTCTAACTTGGGGTGGCATGAGAAAGAGGAACATGCTTTACATGCACACGAGGATGCAACACACATGTAAACACACATCGACCCAGGGCAGGTTTATGACAAATGCCTCCTTAGTAGAAGTGGAGCGCCTTCAACCATTAGAGAAGGTGGCTATCTGCCCATTGCTGAAAAAACCAGGGGCTCGATGGAGAGGATATGGCCAATTATGGGCTAGTGTCAAACCTACCTTTCTTAGGGAAAATTAATTGAGTGAGTGATAGTAGAACAGGAGCTTATGGACAATGCAGGCACCTGTCGTCCTTTCCAGACTCTTGGTAGCTGTAGTGGACAATCTGCCAAGAGAAATGCTTTCTTGCTGCTAACCTCTCAGCTGCCTTTTACACCAGCGCATCATTCAGTTCTGTGGCACTGTTTAGAGTACGGAGTGGGAATAAAGGGGCAGCCTTTAAATGGCTTTCTCTCTTTCTCTCTTTCCAAGCAGAATGCAGTCAAACGTTGGCTGGGGATTAGAATCAGCAGCATGGAGTTTGACCTGTGTGATACCGCAGGGTTTGCTGGTATCAACCATGCCATTTAATATCTGTGTGAGACCACTGCTGAACGAGATTATCCAGCCCTTTAGAACAAGGTGTCATCAATAATACTGTCTAGCTATAAACTTCTTTAAGCCTCCAGGTGCTGCCCTCTTTGTTCCAAGGCAGTGTCTATCTGCTGTGAGCCAAGAGGTTAAGGGGGAAGAAGCTGAATGTCCTCAAGACAGAGGTGATGCTGGTTGGAAAGGCTGTCAGTCTAAAATAAATGGAATTGCCCACACTGGGAAGGGTATAGAGCCTGGGTGTCATGATGGACTCAGCGCTCTTATTTGAAAAGCAGACATTTTAAATATGGAGGTCGGCCCAGTCTTTAGACCTGTCTAATCTGGCCATGTTGATCCATGCAACATCAAGCTTACTAGACTATTGTAGCATGGAAATGCCCTTGAAAATGGATCTGGGACTTCAAGCTAGTGGTGAAAAACAAAACTTATTTATGGTTATCTTGGCGCAAGTTACTTTGACCATGTTAACACCTGCTTTGAGCATACCGCACCGGTCGCTTGTGATTCTAGGTCCAGTTCAAGGTGCTACTGGTTATTTATAAAGCCTTTCATGGTCTGGAACCTATGTACTTGAAGGACTGTGTGGACCTATGTTGCAGCTTCATTCTTCGAAACATATTCGCCTTGTTGTCCCTTCTTGTGGGCTCCTATGTTGCAGCTTCATTCTTCGAAACAGATTCGCCTTGTTGTCCCTTTTTGGTGAGGTCAGCCACCGCTCTTGTGTTTTTCCACGTTCGTGCTTGCAGGATGTCCTTCCTGCATTGGTGAGGAAGACTTCCAACACTGCTGAATTCTAGAAAGTTTAAAGCTTTTTAGAAGGGCATTTAGTTAATGTTTGTATATGGGTTTTACATTTTTCTTGGATCGGTTTTAATTTGTTGGCGTTTGCTGTTTTTAAAACACTGGCTGTTTTAAAGTTGATGTTGTGAGTCACCTTGAGGCCTATAAATAATGAAATAATTTTTCTTTTCCAGAGGAGAAGTTTCAGAAGTATGACTTCTTTTGCAGCAAGCCAGGCAGTTCTCTAGCTTACTCACATTCACCTTCCCTAGTGTCCTCGGCTGAAGTTACTAGAGCTGGTGGAGACCAAAGAGAGAAGCCCTCTGGCATTCCGATTCCAGGTAAAGAGAAAACTGACCATCCTCCTGGTCCTGAGGAGCTGTTGGAAGGTGCTGATAGCTCAGCATCTCTGTCTTCTTCAGACATGGAATCTGGAAATGAAAGCGAATGTCCCAAGCACTTTGTCAACTCCAGTATCCGCTTTCCTCCTTCTCCGACTACTGGCGTGGCTTCAAGACTCAGAAACCCACTTGATATTCTTGCCAAGGTCTTCCCAAGTCATAAACAAAGCAGATTAGAAAAGATTCTGCAGTTCTGCAAAGGGGATATAGTTCTAGCGATAGAGCATGTACTGAACATGGATGAGCACAGACAAGGACTCCAGAACATTGCGATCCCACCCTTGCCAGAACGCAGTGTCTTCCAGAGGTCTTCTGATTTTAGCCTCCTGGGAGTAGATGTCAGAGCACTTGGAAATAAATCAGCATTTTCTCCTCTTCAAACTAGTCCAGCTGCCTTTGCAAGTGAGGTGAATCTTTATGGGTTAAATCCTAGACTGGGGATCAGACCTCTGAGGATGACTTACACCCCTCCAGGATTTATGACACCCTACTTAAGATCCGGGTTGTTTCCTGCTTTGCCGTTTCACTCAGCTATGGACTATCCCTTTTCAGGAGTGATCAAAGATGCGTCTTATTTCTCCAGTAAAGACTCAGTTGCCAGAACTGAGATATATTCGAGACAAGGCGAAGAACACAAATAGTGTCTTGACCAAATTGTCATTTTTGTAGTACTTGTGATACATTCAAATGGGTTGACGTTACTGTCAGATCCCAGATCTCAGAGGTACCGTCTATTAATGAAGAGCTGATGAAAAGTTTCTAATCTTTAAAAAAGGTCTTAATGGGATTCTTTATTTTGACACAGAACAATTTGAAATCTGAGAAAAGTAATTTAACGTTTCTAAAAAAAATTGCTTCCAGAATATCAGCGGTGAAGAGCTCATTAAAACTAGCACTGATTTTTGAAGATGAGCTTCCATAAAGAATGCTCATTTTTTATGTGTTCTGGGAAAAAAATTGAAGTGGCAGTAAAGAAGATGTGAAAAATCCAAGTTGAAATGTTTGCTTGGAAAAATACAATAAATAATAATGTTTGAATTCCCTTTTGCATTTTCTGGGATTTTTGATTTGTTTGTTGTAGTTGCTTTGAGGTATTAATGTTTCAAATGGAAAAACAGTTTTTCAGACATGGAAACCTAGGCTGCATTCAGATATCACAACAAAACGAGTTTGTTCTGGACAGGCACAAGCCTTAGTTAACCCCCTTGGTCTCCCTCTCTTCCCCCTTCCCTTGTACAGAGCCCTGAAACCAAAGACAGAAGCGTTCAACTGTAGTGTGTAGAGAAGTCCCAGTGTAGGGGCCTTAACAAATAGTGGCTCGCTTCTTTCTTAGCATCTGGGATTTTTGACCACAATTTAAGAATTTTGCAGTGCAGAATTATTTGTTTCCTAAGCCTGCTGAGTTCACCAGATTTAGGAGGGTGTAAATCTGTTTAGGAGCGGGGACTGTTTCTCACTAGGAAAGAAGCATTCTGTTGATTAAGGCATCTACATTTAGAAACCTTGAAAGGTGCAGTTGGCTGAAATTATCATGACATAATGGAGAAGGGAAGCACATTGTCACAGCCAGATTTTGGCTTGTTTGTGAACTAATCCTTAATAAACATTAGGCGCTTAAATGTATGCTTTCTGAGGCAGCTGGGTATTAATGTAATAAGGAGTTTAGTTCATCAGTCTAACTTGCAAAGGATGCTTAAGGTCTTCAGATTCTAACTTTCAAAGAATGCTTGCAATTGAGAATAAATGAAGGAACGTGTTGACTGCAGTTCTTATGGTCCAGGTAGCGGCTTGAACAGCTATGACAACATGCTCCTTCTGGCTCTGTAAGCTGCCGGGATGGAACTAGATGTCATCTGACCTGAACATCTGGGATGAAAAAGTGCAATTAGTAAGAGTGCTGTGTCTCTTAAAGGATTATTAAGGTGTGATGCCCCTTCTCTACTCACACAGTGTGCCTACCACCATCTACAACTTATCTTCTTCAGGTTATGGGTTATACCATCACACTCACCACCCTTCTTGTCTCTTTTAAAATCTACAGAGAGTCATGACCGTCTCACACCTCGGGTCCTCTCTCTCACGCCCAGAGGCACCCACAGACAGGGTAGCCCAGCTACTGTTCCAATGACGCGCTGTGCCCATATGTTCACATCCTACAATATATGTACATAGGCTGAGATATTAAATTGTGTGTGTGATTTTTTCCCCTTAGACACACAGCCCACAGGGTTAATCAAACAAGAAAGTGTTTATCTATGCTAAGAACAAAACACTGAGAAAAGCAAGTATAAGAAACACTGTTTCATTTCATTGAATTTTGAACTGAGGTCCTGTTCCTACAACTGGGATCCTTTAGTTACAAATTTACTATTCTCAGCCTGCTCTAAGCAGCTCTTCTACATAGTTCCACTCAGTCAGGAAATGTTTTTCGCCACAGCTCCTAAGCGGTCCCTTTTCTGCCATTTTTCAAGTCTCCTCCTCTCAGCATTCTATCCGTTCACATTGGTTGCTCTTAGAGAGAGGTGGAATTCAGCCTGTCTGTCACACAAGGTAATGTATGTGAGTTTCTAGAAGTCCTTAGGAGAAACTTCTGCATAAATACTAAGGTCCAAAATTATGGGATTACAGCAGTGAATGTTCACAGTGAATATTAAGCTGATGTCCACACTAACTGGTCTGTTTTCATATTTTAAAGACACTGATTAAATGTGTAAAAGGTTGATAGTGTTCTTTGTGGACTGTTTCTTAATTGTGGACATTCAGTCTAGCCCAGTCATCATATTGATGTGCAACAAATTTAGAGTCCAGTGGTACAGACATGCACACAGGTAAAAGCAGATAGCTGCCGTGGCACAGTGGTTAGTCAGCCTAGGACCTGGGATTACCAGGTTTGAATCTCTCATTCAGTCATGGAAGCCCATCAGGTGGCCCTGGACCCATCACAATATCTCACCCTAACCCTACCCTCACAAGGTTGTTGTTGTTGTGAGGATTAAGTGGAGGAGTTCCAGAGGAGATCCAAGAAATTACAGGCTGGTCAGTCTAACGTCAATACTGGGTAAGTTGACGGAAGTCGTTATCAAATTATTAGGCGCATTGATGAACAAAATTATCATATGGCAGTGGGTATAGTGTAGCCAGGAGATCCAAAGATTGTCTAGCAGCCTGAAACTAGCTCTTTTTGTGGCAAGCTAGGTTTATTTTTGGGGCTGAGAGAACTGTGACTGACCCATGTGGCTGCATGTGGAGGAGTGGGGAATCAAACCTGGTTCTCCAGATTAGAGTCTGCTGCTCTTAACCACTACACCAAACTGGTTATTGAGGAAGAATCAGCATGGATTCTGTAAGGGAAGATCTTCTCTCACTAACCTTTTAGAGTTCTTTGAGGGGGTGAACAAACATGTGGACAAGGGGGGACCCAGTAGATGTTGTTTACCTAGACTTCCAAAAAGCTTTTGATAAAGTTCCTCATCAAAGCCTCCTAAGTAAACTCAGCAGTCATGGGATAAGAGGACAAGTCCTCTTGTGGATTAAAAACTGGTTAATTAACAGGAAACAGAGTGAGTATAAATGGGCAGTTTTCACAGTGGAAGGTGGTAAACTATGGGGTACCACAGGATTCAACACTGGGTCCGGTGCTTTTGAACTTGTTCATTAATGATTTGGAGTTGGGAAGAAGCAGTGAAGTGGCTAAATTTGTGGATGATGCTTGTTCTGGGCGGTGAGAACCAGGGAGGTCTGTGAGGTGCTCCAGAGGGATCTGTCGAGGCTGGACAAGTGGGCATCAATGTGGCAAATGAGGTTCAGTGTGGGCATGTCAGAATAATGCACAAAAATCTAAAAGCCAAATATCCTAACTATAAATATACATTAATGGGGTCTGAACTGGTGGTAACTGACCAGGAGAGAGATCTTGGAGTCATGGTACATAACTCACTGAAGATGTCCACTCAGTGTGCAACTGCAATAAAAAAGGCCAACACTATGTTTGAAATTATTAGGAAGGGGACTGAAAACAAATCAGCCAATATCATAATGGCCCTATATAAATCTATGGTGCGGCCTCATTTGGAATACCGTGTACAGTTCTGGTCACCACACCCCAAAAAAGATAGCATTGGAAAAGGTGCAGAAAAGGGCAACTAAAATTATTAAGGGGATGGAAACCTTCCCGATGAAGAAAGCTTGGGGAAATAATGATTATGGGGTGACATGATAGAGGTTTACCAAATTAAGCATGGGATAGACAAGCGCTTGTACAATAACTCATGGGCACTCCAATTAATGAGTGGTAGGCTTAGGACAGATAAAAGGAAGTACTTCTTCACCCAGAGAGTAGTTAACATGTGGAATTCACTGCTGCAGGAAGTGGTGGCAGCTACACCTACAAGCATAAACAGCTTCAAGAAGAGATTGGATAAACATGGAACAGAGGTCCACCAGTGGCTATTAGCCACTAGGTATAGATTTAACACTATGTCTGGGGCACTGATGCTCTATATTCTTGGTGCTTGGGAGGCAACAGTGGGAAGGCTTCTGGAGTTCTGGCCCTGCTGGTGGACCTCCTGACAGAACTTGGTTTTTAGCCATTGTGTGACACAGAGTGTTGGACTGGGTGGGCCACTGCCCTGATCCAACATGGCTTCTCTTATGTTCTTATGAGTAGAGGATGATGCAAAAAGCTTCATAAGGGAGAAAAAGATATGATTTTTTAAAAGCATAATAAGATCCCTTTGTCATTTATGGGCTAAGGGGATAAAGCATGTATTAAAACTCTTTTGCAGTAAGGTTCCTCCTTCAATACCAGCTGTGTGATCCCATAGTAAATAATGTAACACGATTTGCTTTTTTGTTTGAAGTTCAAGAATTTTTTTGGTGTTGCTTTCCTGACAGTTAATATGAGATAATTTCTGTAACTTGCTGTTTTTTCCTTCTTTTGCTATTGATAAAAATAAAGACACTGGACACTTGAAGCAATCTTAATTTTTTGGTGCGCAGGCACAAGTCTCACACTTGTGAAAACTCTTTGGCGATTTGAATGGTAGCACTGATGGAAAATCAAGCTTTTGATTCAGTCTTGTGGTCAAACCGCAGATGATTTGATTCTGGGTTGCATGTGCAATAGAGGAGTGGCTCTCTGCTGCAACCTGTTGAAAGTTGGCCCTCAATGTGGTACGTGTCACAGGAACGAAGTGTGGCCAGAACTGTGCTGTAGAAGCATATGTCATACAGTGCTTCATGTGCAAGAGAACTTAGTGTTAAATGCATCAATTTTTGTTTGATATTCTGGTGTAATTAAAAGGTGTGGTTATCTTTTTGGCAAAGTAAGTAGCTAATAAACTTTGTGCCTTGGTAGTTTAAAAAAATAAAGCAAGTTTTGCACAGTTTCTGTGTATACATTGTTACATTTGTGACTGCAAAGTCTCTAACACCACTAGAAACAAAAGCAATTTATCACCATCTTGTGGCCACCTTTGCACATTACAGCTTCAACTAGAAAAAATTGGGATTTTGTGGGAGGGGACTGGACATTCAAAATGAGACCACTAAGAGCTGGGAGGAAACTTTAACTTCATTGAAACTGAATCTAAGGTCAGGGTTTAGTTCAGAATGGTATACAGAGAGGTGTGTGCATTTTCAG